AAGAAATAAATTTTAAAAAGGGAAAAAAGAGAGCTAATTTAAAGCATACTGTAGTAAGAGTTAAGTGATTTTTTATTTCTCTCTCTTAGGTGTTTTTAGTGGCATAAACACTGCTGTTGGGACAAGCTGAACACTTGAAACTAATATTTTAGTTTGTGTTTTGTGGTTTGCTTTAGGTTTTGTTATTTGTTTGGGGCTTTTTCCAAGCCATGAGTTTCTGAAGTGCAGTAATAGAGATCTTCTGATCATGAACTTTGCCTAGACTAGAATTGCTTTACACTTTGATGCTGTAAGTGAGAGTCAGCTGAGGAATTAATTTCATTTCAGACCATTATAATTGTGAGTTCCAGACTTGCCTCTCTGATTCTGTTTGAATTATTCACTCCTGGTGGAGTCTGTCACACTCAGGTACCTTGACTGTTCACCGTGGACCCCACGTCACAGGGCTTCTACAAACCTTATCTTGCCTTCTATAATAATAAATAATAATAATAATAATAATAATAATAATAATAATAATAATAATAATAATCCCTATGTTCTCATAGGTCTTTATGATTGTGAATGCCATCCTGTACATTGCTGGACCACAGAATAAAAACCCAGAAGCGTTATGTGATAAAATGATGAAGACACTCAACGCTGCGTTGGTGCGCAAGGTCTCAGGCTTGTCCCGGCGGTAGCAGGAGCTCTGGAGCCCTGCCTCTCTGCTCCGGGAAATGCAAGCGGGCTGGCAGCCCGCCCCTCTCAGGGCAGGAGAGCTGTGCCATCGCCCGTGCAGAAATGCAGGCTCGGAGGTAATTCTGTCATCTGCCGCAGGAGGGTTGCGGACTGCAGCAACACTGAACCGCAGCCCCCAAGTGCTGCCTCAGCACTTTGTTGGAATCACCTGGCAGCAAACCAGGACGGATAAAAGGGAAACAGGGAAAGGGAAGCGCCAGGAATGAATGATATCCTAGAGACACGAGCTGTGTTAGCTCATGGTAGCGCTTCCTCTGAACACAAGGTGAATTTACATCTCCTCCCCAGGTCTATAGTTTAAATATACAGTTATACAAATATTTCGGGTTTGTTTGTGGTTTTTTTACTGTGCTAAATCGTTTTGTAGAACCTTTTTTGGTCACTCAGCCCCTTTCCTTACCAGTAAGCCAAAGTACCCATTCCATGGTTTTTTTAACCATCGGAAATCTTGTTCCACATCAACAGAAAAAAGAAAATTGCAAAGAGTTAGATCTTCTTGCCCTTCTCCAGCCCAAACACACACGGCAGCTGGGGGAGCACAGGGAAACCGGTGTGCTTGAGATGCAGAAAGTCAGGGACAAGTGTAAGGCTCAGTCTTTTCCTATGGAGGCAGAAAAGGCGCAGGTTTTGCCGCTTCAGTGGGCATTGCCGGGCATCTGCAGCCCCGTGGAGCCTGGCTGATCTGAGGTGCCCGACACCGCCTCCTCCCAGCCCTGGGCAGTCTCTCTGTGTGGTTTTCTCTTCCTTCTTTTCTTTTCTTTTCTTTTCTTTTCTTTTCTTTTCTTTTCTTTTCTTTTCTTTTCTTTTCTTTTCTTTTCTTTTCTTTTCTTTTCTTTTCTTTTCTTTTCTTTTCTTTTCTTTTCTTCTTATTGTAGAAAGGATAGAACAAATTGCACATTAAGGGCAACCATTTTCTCCATTGCCATAGCATAACTGTTCTTTTCCTGTTCCCCAGAGCTTTACTAGTACATAATTTCCAGATTATCACTTCCATCTTGTGCATATGGAGATGCTACTCTAGTAGAGTTCATCCTCAGGAGAAAATATTACGCATTTTAAATTGTTCTCCTTGTCTGTTCCCTGCAGATATATTTTATGCTAACAGGGAATGCAATCTTCAGCACAAACTCAGGAACAACATGGTGAACTATAATAATTATTGGACCTGTTAGGTCTATTATGGAAATAAATCTTCTGTGAACCAATATTTTCCCTCTTATGTTTCACAGAGAGACAGTAACCCTTCTGCTGTCAATGAATTAATTTGCTAAAAGAAGCTGGAGTTCATAGATAAATCTTAAGATTATTTCTCATTTACATATTAGCTTAGCATTTATGTGCAGTTCCATTTGTGTGATACTCCTGGGGACAATCCAGGGAACAATATGAATCATCTAATATATTAAAATTAGGCTACAATAGAAGGAGAGAAAACCTATCTTTTTTTTTTATTATTTTGAATTATTTAGAATAGTCTTTGTGATTAATTATCTAGCACTGTATGCATAGTATTCCAGAGTAATTTTTGCATCTGGCTGATGCTGGAGCATACTTGAAAAAAGCTTTCTGTGCTGAGACTCCTTCAAAGTGTGCATTTTCTCAAGGACTGCTGGTTGCAGCTTATGTGATATCCTGGCTCAGACATGGGTTGTTGTTTTTTTTTTCTTATTTACGGTGAAGAAACAAGGTCAGAGGCATAAATGAAAGCAGGACCAGTGTATTTCCTATTTCCTGTGGAGTCCCCAGAGTTCTGGTTTGAAATCATTACTGCTGTTAATTAATGATTTGCCAGCTGTCTGCACTAATTTTATAGCATTTATGTATGCAGAGCCATTGTGCCTCACATTCCTGCTTGAGAATCAAGAAGCAAGACACTAGAATCACACTTTGATGTTCATTTGTTATCTTGAATATGGTCTGCTTGTACAGACCAAATTGTAAGCCTTACTGAAGAGGTTTAGCAGCAGCAGAGATCTATTTTGGGACATTTTAGACATTTTCATTTCAATTTTTGCTTGATTTTGGGTAGTAATACATCAGGAAAAACTCAAAGTGGCCTGTTTATTTTTATTTTAATGGTACACAGAGGTTTAAAATTGGAATGAAAAAGCTGGGCACTATAATGTAGTGTAGACATATTCTTACAGAACACATGATTTCTGTCTGTGTTAGTGGCTGCCCCACTGCCCTGAATGCCTACACTGATCTGCAATGCATGCATGGCTTTGCTTGGCTTCTTCCACCATGCTTTCATAAAACCCTCATTTCTTCTGAAGGTTTGGGGAACCAGACAGTTGTGGTAACACAATTCCCAGTGACCAGCTCCATTTTTCTGTAGCAGCCCTGCAGTTACAGTTGGCTCAATGTTTAGTTCAGTATCTGTTTCCCATTCTCCCCTTTGAGGGCTTCTGTCAATGTGGGTTGTCAAGCAGCGGTGGCATTTCTGACAGAAATGGCAACATCTCAGTGGTGGCTGACTGTACACACCCTATACAGTTTTCAGTGGGAGCCTGCTACTCTGGAACTGATGAATCTGAACAGCTGAGTGTCCTGGTTTCAGTTGGGAGACAGTTAATTTACTTTCCAGTAGCTGGTGCAGTGCTGTGTTTTGGATTTAGAATGAGAATAATGTTGATAACCCACCGATGTTTTAAGTTGTTGCTAAGCAATGGTCAAGAACTCTTTAAATTCTCATCTTGCTAGGGAGTAGGCTGGGGGCACAAGAAGTTGAGAGGGGACACAGCTGGGACAACTGACCCAAACTGGACAAAGAAAATTCCATACCATATGACAGCATTCTCAGTATGCAAACTGTGGGGACAGCTGGTCAGTGGACACTGCTCAGGAGCTCCCTGGGCATCAGTCAGCGAGTGGTGAGCAATAATACTGTGCATGGTTATTTTGTATATAACTACTACTACTACTACTACTACTATTATTATTATTATTATTATTATTATTATTATTATTATTATTATTATTATTATTATTTTCCCCCTTCCTTTTCTGTCTTATTAAACCGTCTTTATCTCAACCCACAAATTTCAGTCTTCCTTTCTGAATCTCTCTCCCATCCTGGTGCAGGGAGAGGGAAAGCAAGTGAGCAAGCTGTGGTATTTAGCTGCCAGCCAGGTAAAAACCACAACAGCCATTTTTCTGACACCCAACACAACGTCAAGAGGGTGAAGATAATGACAGATCTGACCAGAGTGTTTTAAACCAAATTTTTATAAACATTCATTATATTGGTTTAATAGTCACTCATCGCAGTGTTGATGTCTTTGCTCACAGAGTTGTTGCACTTCTCAGAATTGCACTATGTAGTACCTTGCTGTATATGTTCCCTCTTGTGTTTGTCACCTCTGGGGGCTGTGTTAAGGTTTATCATTTTGTTGTTGTTTGTAACACTGGCTTCTGGTATGATAAAATTGCTGGTCATGAGACTAATCTGGTATCTCAGTACTCAGGCTGCCCACATCTCCATACTCTGGGAGCCATCACTCAGAAACTAGTAATTATTTATGACCTCTCCTTAGAGGGCCAAGCTATGGGTGAGACAAAGTGGGGGAAGCTGTCCCCCACTCCTTCACCCTTCTTTCCTCCTTTTTGTCTTCCCCTTTTCCTTATTCTCCAGGCTAGTTACAATAGCTTTTGAGAATTTTGAATGTAATTGGGATGTTCAGACTGGCATGTTTCTGTTGATATGTCTTATGTTACTGAATGTGCTCCAGATCTTGTTTAAACATCTGCTTAAGAATACTACCCAGAGATCTACCTGGAAGCTGGACAGTTGTGAGTGTCAGGGTGTACAGGACAGTACCTAGGACAGTAGGCACCTCCAGAGGTTTGGGCTTCATCCCTGAACAAGAGCAGAACCTTGAAAAACTGAAAAACTGAAAAAGCAAAATATTTGGAAAAAGTGAGCTGTCACCCAGGCAATTCCTGAGAGACACAAATCACTGTGTCTCTCCATGCTGAGGCCTGGCTCCCATCCACCAAGCCCTGTCCAACACCACTCACTACCGTCAATGGCAAGAGAAGGTCTCTTAATCTGACTGCAAAGTGACAGCTATTGCAGCTGCTCCAACCCCCATGACATGGCTGAACCAGAGAGCCAAGCCATGTCATTACCAGCCACTCATACACATGAAGAAATGTTGGAAGCAAAAGCCAACTCATCCCATAAAGGAAGAAACTCTTCCCTTAGTTAAGGAAAGAAATTGGTGAGGCAGACTACCCCAAATGAAGGCCATGATGAGAAGAGGAGGAAGAAGAGACAGAACTCAAACAAGGTGGCAATCACAAATCTCTGTCCCCATGTTTGCAGCTGGAATTGTGAAGAGATTTCTGCCATCTTCCAGGTGAGCACATTGTCTGTTCCAATGCTGGGATAACTGGGCCAATAGCCTGGAATTAGAGGATAGGGAACCCAAAAAGCTGGGATCTGTTTCTAGGGAAATGGGAATTTACAAAATGATTGGAAAAGAACCATGAAGCCTCAGCCTCTGGAGGTGCCTCCAGTTCAGGAGAGAAGGAAAGGTATCCCTTCCAGGGAGATATTATATATCACCCAGGCAAGTGGATCAACGTGGACGGAGATGTCTTGTACCTGAAGAAATTAACTGTGCTGGAGGTAATTTATGGTAACCCACACGAAAAGTGTCCTGATTTCAGCTGGGATAATTTTATTTTTTTTTCCCAGTAGCTAGTGGAGTGCTGTGTTTTGGATTGAAGATGAGAATAATGTTAATAACCCACCAATGTTTTAGTTGTTGCTAAGCAGTGGTCAAGGACTCTAACTTTTCATATTGCTCCACAAGTGAGCGGGCTGAGAGCACAAGAAACTGGGAGGAGACACAGTCACAACATCTGACCCAAACTGCACAAAGAGTTACTCCATACCATATGCCATATGTACCCCAGTACATAAACTGGGGGGACAGCTGGCCAGAGGGCACTGCTCAGGATTTGTCTGAGCAGTGAGTGGCGAGCAATAACATTGTGCATCATTTGTTTTGTACATTCTAATTATTTTAGAGTTCTTATTGTTGTTATCATTATTACTATTTTCCATTCCTTTTCTGTCCTATTAAACTGTCTATATCCCAACCCACAAAGTTTTGTCCAATTCTCTCCACCACCCCACTGAGGAGGGCAGAAGGGAGTGTGGTGTTTAGCTGCCTGCCAGGTTAAAACACAGCACTGGTTTAGTGTTTAAGCTATTCCTGACCCACTGCTGCTTTGAGCTCCTCAACAAAGTTCATATTTTTCAGATGTTATTTAACTTGTGTATTAGTCCTTGTAGACAAAATACTCCTTT